GAAAAAAAACTTGAAGAAACCCTAAAAGTACATAATTTTCTTAAAAATATTTTTTTCGGGATTAAACAATTGATTTAAAATTTTTAGACTCTAACAGGGAGAATTCAAGATCATAGTATGGCCACTGCACAAGATCAGTTAATTTCTTTAATGAAGCAAATAGATGAAGAAAAAGAAAAATATCAAAATTTATTGTTCACAAATGAAGAGAAAAATGTTGCTAATATAGAACTACAAAATAAAAATAGCGAATTATTAATAAAAATTAAAGAGTTAGAAGTTGACTTAGATAAAGAGAGAAATTTAGCAAAAGATGTAGAAATTGAAACTATGAAAATTTTTGAAAAAGAAGAAGAACTTTGTAGAGTAAAAGAAGAATTGGAATCTCTGAAAAACGTTATAAGTAATAACAAAGACGAGTTACAAAAATCAGTGTCTAATTTAAGTTCCGAGGTCAATGACAAAGACATTTTATTAAATACACTTCGCCAACAACTTAATGAGTGTACTCAAACTAATGAACGTTTGTTAAAGGAAGTAAATGAAAAATTAGAAACAACTACTGAACATTTAAACAAAATTATAGAAGAAAAAAATAAAAAAATTGAACAAAGTCAAGAAATGATCGATCAGTTAAATGAAGGAATTAAATCATTGAATATATTAAAAAATGAAGAACATGATGAAATTATTGTTGGTTTAAAAAATGAAATTATCAAGTTGAAGAATGATAATAAAGTTATGATAGAATTAAAAGATGAAAATATGAAAGTTCAACTCGAGATTTATGAAAAAAAACTTCAAGAGTTAAATAATGAACTTTTAATTTTAACCAAAACTAAAACTCAAGAAATTAGCGAACTGCAAAATAAAGTTAGTGACTTGATGTCCTCACAATCTAAAGATAAAGAGCTGATTAATAAATTAAAAGTACAAGTAAATGCGACAATTGATGACTTAAAGAAACAAAAAAATGATAATATTGATTTTTACAAAAAACTGCTAAAAGATTCTCATGAAAAACAAACTGAAATTGCCTCAGAAACCATAGAACAATTACAAAACCTGTTTGATCAATCAATAATGGATAAAAATAAAAAAATCGAATCATGTAATGTAACTTTATTATATGTAAAAGAACAAATTATTAAATCTAAAACTAAAATTGAAGCATATTATGAAGCTAAATACAAA